TACTCTCATGCATTGTAAGTGATATATCTGAGTTCTCCATCTATGAAGGTACTGAGTTGTCATCAGTGTGCCACCGCGCCCAAAGACTGGAGATCTGGATGACCAGAGAATTCAGTTCAGATGAGGCGTAGTTGTCCCAATAAGGTGCTGGAAGAGACTGTAAAATCTTCTTCCTTAGAGACATGGAAGAATAATCTAGACTGGCCCATATTAGGTGCAGTTTTGAGAATGAGGGAGTGGGATTAGATCAGCCTTTTTTTATTCTAGTGCAATTTTTTTCTTCATCAAATATTAGGAAGTCAGAATTTTTAATTTTAAAATCCTTTTAATGTAAGTTTTCTAATATATGTGCATGTCTGTAACTGTCCTTTACCAGAAATGGTTCGGTGTACAAGGTTATAATTTAAAATGATTTTTATAACCTGAGTAAGAGTGGATAGAAATATTCTCCATCCCCAATTTTAGGGTGGGCAAGTATATGACAGAGAGAGAGGGAGCACATGGGAGGGGCAGGAAGGAAGGAGAGGGAGAAGGCACACACATGCTTTCTTCTAAAACTGATGGAAGTTTTCAAATTTAAAACTTGAAGTTTTCTCTCATTTACATATATTTAATTGTCTGTATTCTTTTAGCCAATGCTGTTGTTAAAATAGATTTGTAAAGGACTAGATATGGTTTAGGTCTAAAATAACATCTTAATGGCCACTTGGGAAAGCAGGTAGTTAATAGAAGACTAGAAAGAATAGCTTTAGGAACTGGATGTAAGAAATGGTATTTATGTGCAAAGTTGGTAAGCAACAGGCAGAAATGGATATAAATTCATTAATGTTATAGCTTATTTAATAAAGTTTTGATTACGTTGTTGTTATCTAATCATTTCCCATCAGACACATTATTTCCCCCACAAATGAATGCATCAAAATCTATTCATTTGGGTAATTTGCTTGGTGTGATGCATATTCACAACTTCAGTTCTTGTAAATGGTTCTGTCAGTAAATGTGGGAGGAATTAAGTACTGTGATTCATGCTTAATCTTAATTTGCTCCATAGTCTTGCATTTATAAGCTATATTAACAGAAGTCTAAGATAGATGAAATACTGTTAATAACAACACCTACAATTTGGCATAAACATCTGTAAAGAACACTGGCTCACCTGAACGTGGAGAAACACTGGTTAACATTCCCATTCTCTTTTACCTAATAGTGTTCCCTTGAGGCACAATCTTGATCCCTCTGATGATAAATAGGAAAAAACAAACTGCTTTGATCACCAAAATGTGTAGGGGGACTTTTTTCACTCTCACTTACCAAGCAGTTCTCCAGTGGGCTCCAAGTGGGTGCCCTGCAGTTTACAGTTTAATTCAGTTCTGACACTGCCCACCTGTAGTTAACATCAGAACCAGGTTTAGGGGCTTAGTTCCACAAGACTGGTTCCCCCACTTCAGATGCCAAGCACAGACCACAAGTTTTGATCTGTGCTCCTGACCTACTGTGTATAAACTGGATTCCTTAACCCCCTCCTCAGGTTCTGTTAATCTTCTAAAGCAGCTTATATAATTCAGGGAAACACTTCACTTACGTTTACTGGCTTATTATAAAGGATATTGCAAAAGGTACAAATGAACTGCAAGATGGAAGAGATGCACAGGGCAGGGTGTGTAGGAAGGCTATAGAGGTGCACTACCCCCAGCCCCCTCCACATTTAGCGATCCAGAAGCTCCCCAAACCCTATCCTTTCGGGTTTTCGTGGAAACTGTTACAGACATGACTGATTACATCATTGGCCACTGGTAATAGACTGAACGTTCAGCCCTGCTCCTTTCTGCTAAGATGTGTGAAGTGAGATTGAAAGTTCTAACCTTCTAATCACATGGTTGGTTTCCCTGGCAACCAGCCCACCTCCTGAGGCTGCCTGGGAGCCCCCCAGCCCTCAGTCCTATCACTAACATATGGAAAAAATAAAAAAGTACCACTTCAGGCTTGGTGCCCCATGGGTCAGTGGTTAGGGTACCAGCCACATACACTGAGACAGGTGGTTTCGAACCCGGCCCAGGACCGCTAAACAACAATGACAACTGCAGCAACAACAACAAAAAAATAGCCAGGTGTTGTGGCAGGTGCCTGTAGTCCCAGCTACTTGGGAGGCTGAGGCAAGAGTAGCACTTAAGTCCAAGAATTAGAGGTTGCTGTGAGCTGTGACGCAACAGCACTCTACCAAGGGTGACATAGTGAGACTCTGTCTCAAAAAAAAAAAAAAGTACCACTTCAACGATACCAAGGGTTTTAGGAGCTGAATGGCAGGAACCAGGGGGCAGAGACCATATATATTTCTTTTGTTGTTTGTTTGGTTTTTTGCAGTTTTTGGCCGGGGCCAGGTTTGAACCCTCCACCTCCAGTATATGGGGCCAGCGCCCTACTCCTTGAGCCACAGGCACCGCCCCACCCCTTTTTTCCATATATATTTCTTAACATATGACAATATCATGGTCCCATATAGAGAACTACCATTTCCCTGGATTTATCCTGTGTATCCTCTGATTTCTCCAGTGTAGATCATCAGATAGGATTTATTCCCTGCTATCTGATATTATAAACCTCTCTTTTCTGTTTCCCTCTGCTGAGACTCCCACATACCATTCCCACTCAGTTTAATTCACTTCAGTGTGTATTTACTGAGCTCTATTTATCATGTGCTAAGCCTGTGTTAAAGTTGGGATGACAATGATGAATACAGCACAGTGTTTGCTCTCATGGAGTTTATAATGTAGTTTGAGGGTATAGACACTTTAGCAGGTCATTTTCAAGTTGTGTGGTAAAAACTGAGATGGTAGGTACCCCAGAGAATAACCAGTCATGGAAGTAAATACTATATATTAAAGGCAAATGTGAGATACCAAAAAAACTGAAAACTTGATTTTTTTTTGAAATTTATAGCCAATTTGAGGAGACACAGAATTAACCCATCAGCAAATACTGAAAGTCCCAAACAGCAAAAGCTACTTAGTTTATCATTCAGCCTTTGGTTAGAACTGAGTATCACAAGGTTTTAAATAAGGAAAAATAAGGCCCAGAGCCATGACTTACACCTGTAATCCCAGCCCTCTGGGAGGCCAATGTGGGTGGATTGCCTGAGCTCACAGGTTTAAGACCAGCCTGAGCCAGAGTGAGACCCCCCTCCCATCTCTAAAAATAGCTGGGTATTGTGGCAGGAGCCTATAGTCCCAGCTACTGAGGAGGCTGAGGCAAGAGACTCTCTTGAGCCCAAGAGTTTGAGGTTGTTGTGAGCTGTGACGCCATAGCACTCTATCGAGGGCAACAAAGTGAGACTTTGTCTCAAAAAAGAAAGAAAAGAAAAGAAAAATGTCCTGAATTTTCTAAATATAATCCCTTCTATAATTCAAGCCTCTTATTCATAAAAATAGGAGTGCTATTTACCATCATTTACAGAAAAATTATAAAATCCAAATCATTTTTGGAGTCCAGTGGTTCCCACCCTTTGGCTTTTGGTGCAATGCACGGGGTTACAGGTGTGCTTAGAGACTGATCCTTCAGCTCGTGGGGCAACCAGACTCCTGTGTGAGCAATCTTATTTCATTCCAGTGGGCTTTACAAATAGCACCATTTTCTGCATACCATGATATCTGAAAAGCTGGAAACTACTGCTTTAATCTTTTTTCAAAAGGCTAGCTTCCCAAGCAATCACTTTTATATCTTAGTAATCCCGTCCCAATTCTTTATATAAGGAGCTTTAGTTGAAGAATTTTAAAGAGAAGATAGGACTCTCAGAAGGAACTGACTTCTTTTGAAACTACAGAGGGAAATGATTCTTAGGTCTCCAGAGAGCAGTAGTTGATTTCTTTAATCGTTCCTTTGGCCACCAGTAGTTCAGTACCCAGCATGATGAGGTTAATCCTCTACTTCCAAAGCATTGGTGTAGGCATTATGAATAGTGGGCTTTGGGAGTAGCTGGCATACAAGTTAAATAGACTCATGAATATTGTGTATCTTACTATTCATCACTTTTTAATTTGTTTTACTAGTAACCAAAAAATTAGCCCTTACACAGGCAAGACACTGGTTGGCTTCAATAATTCATTAGTGAGAAGATGCATGGTGTCTGCCTTCACAAAGTTGGTAGTCATTTAGAGCAGCAGTCACCAACTTTATGGCACCAGGGACTGGTTTCATGGAAGACAATTTTTCCACAGACCAGTGTGGGTGGTAGTTTCAGGATGATTCAAGCACATTACATCTCCACCTCAGATCATCAGGCATTAGATTCTCACAAGGAATGTGCAAGCTGCATCCCTTTCCTGTGCAGTTTACGGTAGGGTTTATGCTCCTTGGAGAATCTAATGCTGCCACTTGTCTGTTAGGAGGCAGAGCTCAGGTGGTGATGTGAGCGATGGGGAGCAGCTGTAAATACGGACGAAGCTTCCTTGGCTTGCCTGCCCTTCCTCCTGCTGTGCAGCCCTGTTGCTACCAGGCCATGGACTGCCTCTGGTCTGCAGCCTGGGAGTTAGGTCCAGAAGTTTTAGAGAACACAGGTAATTAAAGAGGTAGTTGCAATGTGATATGGTTGATGCTCTGAGGAACATATAGAAGAGACAGTTACGGAAACTGGAAGATGGTTTATTATAGTTACTTTCCTTTTTTATTATAGTTACTTATAGACTAAATTATTTAGACTGAATTGAGTGGGTCTTCTTGTTTCTTTCAGAGCAAAGCGTAACATTTGGTGTGATTTAGAAGAATCTCACTGAATGTTACTTCCTTAATTATCCACTGTAACCTGAAAAGTATTGCTTCTTAAAATGCCTCTGATGTATGGTTTCCCTGAGTAACCTAAGAAACACTGGGCCTTTTAATTCACATTTTTGTTTGACTAAAAGACAGTCCTGGCTTTAACATAATATGCTTTGTACCTGTAGCCTTTAATGACAGATGTGATTAAATAATGCTGTAATTTGGTATTCTCTTACCTTCTGTATTTTTAGGGAAGGTATGCATGTAAATCAAGAATCGCTGCAAATATCTCCCTGCATTACAGAACAGTTCATTGAGCTATTATGTCAGTTCAACCCAAACCAAGTTATAGAAACGCTGCAAGTTCTTGAGTGCTACCGCCTAGAAGAAACCATTCAGGTAAGACAAGAACAACAGTGCAGAAAAGACAAGAGTAAACTTTTTCTTAACAAGTCTCATTTGACAGATGAGCAAAGTGAAGAGGAGAAAATATAATTTAATTTTTAACACTCATAAGTTCTTAGTTGAGACACTCCTGAAAACAAAAGTTTAGATTAACAAGATTAGATTAAGTTCAGATTAACAAGAAAAAAACCAGCAGTTTACTGACTTCTGCCTGTAACCCTAGCACTCTGGGAGGCTGAGGCAGGTGGATTGCTAAGCTCAGGAGTTCAGACTAGTCTGAGCAAGAGTAAGATCTCAACTCTACTTAAAAAATAGAAAACAAAGCTAGTCAGGCATGGTGGAGAACACCTATTGTTTCAGCTACTAAAGAGGCTGAGGCAAAAGGATGATTTGAACTCAAGAGTTAGAGGTTCTATGAGCTATGATGCCAGGGAACTCTACCTAGGGCCACAGAACTAGACTCTATCTCAAAAAAACAAAAAAGAAGTTCACTGACCCATGCTGTACTCATAATGTGGGAGAGGCCTCAGTTCAGAACTATCTCTCTCAAGGCAGTGGTTTAGGAGCCTTGCTCGATATTATTTTAACAAAGAGCCGTAAGTCCTATAGTGACAAAACAGAGGCAAGAGCAGTTCCAGTCTTGTGAAGGGTGGAAATGTGGGATGGTAGTAAAATCTGTTCTCAACGTTTCTCTGGTGCCTTCTTTAAGGCAATATAAGTAAGTGGTATCTCCAGTAGGGAGATTCATGTCCTGCCATGAGGCAGGTAGAGGTTTGAGGCAGAGAGCTCCCCTGTGTTCTCAGTGTCTTTAACTTAATAATACTTAATGTTTGGGGGAGAAATATTTTGGTTTCCTTCAGTCCCTCCTTTGAAACTTTACTTTTAGAAAATTTCACATATTAAAAGCCAAATTAGTAGCTTTGGAGAGACTCAAGTAAGAGGTGTTAAGATAAGAGTTTGGCAAATGGAGAGAAAAACATAGATTGGAACAAGGAGAAAGGAACAAAATTGGGTGCATGGTTTCTTATCAAATCAGTCTCTTAGATGTGAAAATAGGTCAGTTCAAGAAAATAGTTTCATTTCATTTTAAGAGGTGGTGGTATTCCTCTTAAATGAATAATATTCCTCTTAAATGAATTTCCATTGAATTTCATGCAAAAATAACAAAGGTTAATGTTTAGAGCAGTCTATAAGATAATCTGTGAATCTGGAGGGCAGTTAGCTAAGATTTCTATGATTCTGTTTGAAATATCTACAGTTGGGGTGGGAGGAGGCAGTGGCAATCTGAGAGATTTTTCCTGAATTGCAGTTTGAATCAGGTGTTGCTATGAACTTTCTGTCTATAAATACATTGTCATGGTGATTTTCCCAAAGTTTATATGAAGCCATCTAGCGTTAATTTATAGGGCTTCAGGAAAAGCACGATTTAATTTCAGGGAAACTAAGTCAGAAAAATGGGAGGAAAATATATATTAGTTTAGAGAGTTGTAGTCAGATACTGAAGGAGGAAACTAAAAATTTAGGATTTAGTTCAAATTACAGGTAAATAATAAAATCTAAAAAAAAGAGCTAAAATCTAGTAACAAATATACTCTTTATTTTTTCTGAAAACATAATTTTTTCTCCAGCTTCCCATTTTTACTAAAGATAATTGTAGTAAGTACAATTTATTTGCAAAATAAGAATAATCTTGTTGAATTTGGCCTGATTATTTACATGAGTACTAAAAGAATAGTTACTGACCAAATAGACTCTAAATCAGCTGAGTTAGAATTTATAAGGAATCTCAGATTAGACTCTTAAAAGTTTCTTCAGGTTAGAAAGGCAAGCCATAGACTCACCATCAGATTTTACCTGTAGTACCTGTGTAAATTCTTTTCTTGAGCTTCTCAAAATATCCTGAGGTTCCTGGGCCTGTCAGAACCATTCTTTACTGACTCTAAGGCTAGGCACCCTGTAAGGATCCATATAGACAAAGTACCAGGCCAGTTTTTCCAAAGGCTTTATTGGCTTCTTAAAGTTAAGCTTAGTTCCTAAAGCATTCTGGTCATATCTGAGAATACTACATCCCAGTCAAAGCCTGGGTAATATAACCATTGTTTCCAGTTGTCCTGCTACAGAGAGAACAAATTCTCATTGAGCTTAGGTAAATAACTATATTGCCATAAAATAAGAATACTCACAAATGGTTTCCAAATTCTGGAAGGATCATGTAGGCAGAAAAGTAAATGTTCCACTTTCACTCATAAAAGTACACTTTACCAAATTACTGTGAAAGTTTCATTATGTACACAAACACACACATTATTTTTTTAATCTCTGGAAAATAAAACATAAAAAGAATCAACAATGTTTCAAACAGCAAAGTCATAAAAAATTTATTTCAGTCCTGTGTAATTAATTCTTGTTTTGCTTGAGTCCACTTTTTTTTTTTTCCATTACAGTTTTGGAAAATTTTGCCCATTCTGGAGATACAATCTCAAACTTGTCAGAAGCTTGTATTCGAGAGTATTTATGCAGTCTTTTCCATGAGCCTCCTTAAAGCTGCACCACTTTAGAATTTGCAAAGAGTTTTCAGAAAAAAAAGCATCAAAATTAAGCAAATAACTGTGGACAAGATTTAAAATGGCCATGGTTAAAGACCCAGTTGTCAAGGGAAATTGGTTATTTCATGTAGCCTATAATAATTTAACATAAAACCCCCAAGTATGACTGGTAACATATACTAAGCTGTAACAGATTTCTAGGACTCTTGTTCAATTTTGTAACACATTTTAATAATATAGCCTTACAAATATAACTCAAAGAAGGTTAAACATCATTTCCTTTTTTTTCTTTTGAGACAGGGTCTTGATCTGTTACCCAGGCTGGAGTGCGATGGTGTGATCATAGCTCACTGTAGCCTCAAACTCTTGGGCTCGAGTGATCCTCCTGCCTCAGCCTTGCAAGTAGCTGGGACTACAGGCATGCACCACCACACCCAGTTAACTTTTATAACTTTTTGCAGAGACAGGTTCTCACTGTATTGTCTAGTCTTGCCTATTCTTGAACTGCCTATTCTCACTGTATTGCCTATTCTTGAACTTCTGGGCCTCATGTGATCTTTCCACGTTGGCTTCCCGCAGTGCTAAGATTATAAGCATGAACCACCATGCCCAGTGTAAACATCATTTCTTATTTGACAGTGCTTCCCATATAATTTAACATATTAAATAAATGGATTTATCGTTTCTCTTTTGACTGCTTCACAGACCTCTGGAGCATCCTAAAGATAGTTGGTGGTTAAAAAAGACTTAATTTTAGAATTGGAAATTTGATTTGGGGAAGCCTGTCAAATGTGTCAAATTTTTAATACAGTTGATCAAAATAGGATCACAGCTCACTGTAAAGTAATGGTCATTCATTTAGCTAAAGTGATAATTAAAACCAAAATGGAGACTCACATATGAAGTTAACTTGTATAACATTAGAGGTAGTTAGTGGTAGCACCTGAGCTTGAACTCAGATGTTCTGATTTCCATAGTACAAGCTCTTAATTATTGTGACAAACTGATTCCCTATTTATTCTATGAAAATGAGCTCTATAGAAATTGTTATTAATCAAACTTTATAGAAATTCTAGTCAATTCAGTAAGCCTAGAAAAAGGAATGTAATGAAAATATTGAAAGGAAAAGATCAAGCTCTTGTTTACAAATATTGGTGATTAGATAGTCCTATTGTGCCATAAAACTTAATGGGCTAAATAGCAATTCAGTAGCTTTAACGCACTCATTACCTTGATTTTCTTCCCTTATTTCTTCCTGTTTCCAAATAAAAGTGTGTGTAAGTGTGTGTGTGTTATTTCCTTTCCTATTCTGATGACATAAAGGATACTCTTTTGTGTAAGTTTTATAGTTTAATTTCTTACATTTAGGCTTTTAAACCAAATGGAATTTATTTTTGCAGGCTGATTAAGAGAGGGATTTATATCCTTCTTTCCACATTATGACTCATGGCCCATGTGGCATTTTATTATCCTTTTCTCAGATTTTAATGCCATACTGCTATATACCAAACTCCCAGATATACCTAATCTGCTTGTGGGTTCTGTTCTGTTCCTTTGGTCATCTTTGTCTATACTTGTACCACACATTTTAATGAATGTAGCTTTTAATAGGTTTATTTGGAAAAAGAATTCTCTCTCCTTATTCTTTCTTCTTTGAAATGCTTTATCTACCTTTGGCCTCTTACTATTCCACATCAATTCAGAGATCACATTGTCAAATTCCTTTAAAAGAAATGAACCCTCTGGAGTTTTAATTGAAATATACATTGAACTTCTAGCCCAATTCAGGGAGAACTGACATCTCTCCTCATTCAGGAGTATGGTTGCATTTTTAAAATGCCTGTTATGCACTTTGGTGAGGTTTTATAACTTTTATATGTGGCTTCTGTACATATTAAATTTGTCCATAGATACTTTATAGTTTTGTTAACATGGTGCAAGAATATTTTTTGAGATAACATTTTTTTATTGATAGCTGCTGCTGTATTAGAACATTAATAGTTTTTGTGCAACCAGGCTGAATTCTTTTTAAGTTCACATAGTTCCTAGATTTTTTTTAAGGGGTTTTCATTCTGTTACCCAGACTGGAGTACAGTAGTGTGCCTAGTTCACTACAGCCTCAAACTCATGGGCTCAAGCAGGCTTGCACCTCAGCCTCTCAAGCAGCTGGGACTAGCTGGGAAGTGCCTGCCACCAGGCCTGGCTAATTACTTAATTTTTTGTATATTCGGAATTATGCTATATTCCCCAGGCGGGTCTTCATCTCTGGGCCTCATGTGATCTTCTATCCTCAACTTCCCAAAGTGGTGGCATTACAGAATTGAGCCACTCCACACAGCCAATTTCAAGATTTTTTTTTTATGAAATTATGTTTTCTAATAATAACAGCAAGGGCTGTTTTTTCATCCCATTCTTAACAGTTTTTTCTTTCTCTTAACAGACGGCTAGGAGCTCTAGGATATTGTTAAATAGAAGTAGTAGTAATGTGCCTCTGACCTTGTTCCTGATTTAGAAGACAATATTTTACATTAAGTAGGGTATTTATTATAGGTTTTAATAGGTGACTTAATTATTAATTTAAGAAATTCTAGCCTTAGTTCTGGTAAGAGTGTTTTGTTTTATTTTTGTTTTTGTCACGAATGGGTACTTCATTTTACCAAATGTTTTTCATGCATTTATGGATTTTATCATGTGCTCTTCTCCTTTGATCTGTTAAACTTTTAATGTGTTATTTGTGCCTTTCTTTTTTCTTCTAAGCAAGCATTTTTCTACTATATTAATCTTTTCAAAAAAGCTACATTGGAGTTTTGTTAAGCCTCTCTATTGTTTGCTTTCTGTCACTTTCTGTACTTTTTGTCTTTTACCTTCTTAAGAACTGATTTTTCCCCTTTTTTACTAATTAGAAATTTTTAGTTTATTATTATTAAAATCCCACAAGTTGATATGCAGTGTTTTGATTGTCATTTTGTTCTAAATATGTGCGTATAATTACAGATGGTCAGTTTCTACGTTATATCATCACTCATCATCTGTATGTATTAGCTTTTCTCCCCTGGCTATACCTCCTTCAGGTGTGTGACAGTTTCTTAAATAAATAAGTGAAAAAAATGAATGAATTTTGTTCAGTTAGAAATGCCAAATGAACTGCTGTAAGACTAGAAAGTCAAGTGTTTACAGTAGGTTATAGTGTAAAGAAGCAAATCACTGAGGTACGAATTGGCTGTGTGTTATCATGTGACTTCTTCATCCTCAATGGGATCATCCCACCCACAAATAATATTTGTGAACAAAAATGTTTATCTTCTCTTTTTTTCTCCTAGATTACTCAGAAATACCAACTTCATGAAGTCACCGCTTATCTTTTAGAAAAGAAAGGAGATATTCATGGCGCCTTCTTAATAATGTTAGAGGTAACATTTTACTACAGTTGCTTCATCTTATTTCTTTTATCTGTCCCTCTAACCATTTGTCAAGCCATCTTAATTTTTTATGTTTCAAAGTTAGTTGCAGACAATAGTGCATTTTACCTCTGCATATTTTTATCATGCATGTCATTGACTAGAATATTTAGTATTTAGTATTTCTTTGTGGTACTTGTTTTTAAAGGTACAATTTACATAAAGTAAAACAAACATGCAGTGTGCCATTTGATGAGTTTTTAACAAATGTCTACATCTATGTAACCCAAGTCCCTAACAAGATAGAGCTCACTTCCTTCACCCCAGAAAGTTCCCTTCTGCTCCTTCCTAGTCAGTTACTGCTCCCATCTCCCCACCCTCTCAGAGAAAGCCACTCTTCTGGGTTTTTTCACCCTCCAGTAGCTATTATTTTATGTGATTCTTCTTTCACTCAGCAAAATACTTTTGAGGTTTATCTCTGTTATGGCGTTTTTTTAGTACTTTTGTCCTTCTTTTGCTGCGTGGTATTTAATTGTGTGGATGTACATTGAATTATTTATCCAGTCTCCTGTTGATAGATACCTGGGCTTTTTCTGGTTTTTAGTTGTTATGAATAAAGCTACTATGATCACTCTTGTACAGGTCTTTTTGTACACAAATGTTTTCGTTGCCTTGAGTAAATACAAAGGAATGGAATTGCTGAGTCATGAGAGAGTTGTATAAGAAATTGTCAGACCTCTTTCCAAAGTGGTTGTACCATTCTCACCAGTTTATGTGTAATTAAGGTGACCAGATTTTAACATTGGTAAAGCGGGACACCATGGTGGGGGCAGGGGCAGGGCCTGACAACAATACAAACTTTGATAAGCAGTACTCGATAATCAGTTCTCAACAATTATTTGTTATTATTAAAGTTTAACATTATAAAATTAACAAAAATAACATAAAATGCATATCCTGGCGAAATAGCCACATGGCAGCCGAAAACCGTATATTCCCTTCCTGTTCTCCCATGTTCCCTAGCTTATCGTGCATTCTTTCCAAAAATCGGAGCTTTTTTAAAATGCCGCAGGATGCAGGACAAATTGTTAAAAATCAGGACTGTCCCGCCAAAAGAGGGACGTCTGGTCACCTTACTGGGGGGCCGGGGGAGGTCCTACTTGTTTGTTCCAGACAGTTGGGTTCCTTCTGAGCTAATTGTCCTTGCCTAGAAGCAAGGGAGGGAACCAGTCTCCTTCTGATACCTTGCCCAGGAGGGGAGTAGGGAGTTTACATTAGCCTTTTCATTTCCAAATGGAGTTACGTTAACCTCTTCATTCCCAAATGGAGTTACATTAACCTTTTCAGCAGCCAAACTGTATATTCCCTTCCCATTCTCCCGCTGTTCCCTAGCTTGTCATGCATTCTTTCCAAAAATCGGGACTTTTTTAAAGCGCCGCAGACACGAGACAAATTGTTAAAAATCAGGACTGTCCTACCAAAAGCAAGACGTCTGGTCACCTTATGTATAATAGGTTTTTGTATAAGAGTTTTGCTTGCTCACCATTCTCACCAGTGCTTTCTGTTCAGTAAAGTTTTAAAAACTTTTTGCATCTAAAAAAATTATTACAAAACATACAATATAAAGACTACCATATTAGCCATTTTTAAGTATATAGTCAGTTACGTTAACTATAGTCATATTATTTTACCATTGTCACCACCACCATCTATTGTTAACATACTTTCAGCCTCCCACTCTGAAACTCTGTACCAATTAAACAATTACTCCCCATTCTCTGACCTACCTCCGATCCCTGGAAACCACCATTCTGCTTTCGGATTCTGTGAATTTATCTACCTCCATGTACTTCATGTAAGCAGAATCAAATAGTAGTTGTCTTTATTTTGGTAGCAGGTCTTCAGGGTTCATCAGTGTTGTAGCATATACTAGAATTGTTTTCCTTTTTAATACTGAATTATATTCCATTATATGTAAATATCCCATCTTATTTGCCCAGTAATCCTTCAGTGGACAGCTGGGTTGCTTCCACCTCACTGTGGATAATCCTGCAATGAATATGGTTGTACAAATATCTTTTTGAGTCTCTGCTTTTATTTTTGGGAGATGTGTACCCAGAAGTAGAATTGCTGGATCAAAGAGTAATTCTATTTTTATTTTTTGAGGAACTGCCATACTATATTCCATAGCAGCTGTGCCATTTTATATTCCTACCAGTAATATGCAAGGGTTCCAATTTCTCTACATTCTTGCCAACATGCTTATTTTCTGGTGGTTTTTTTTTTCTTTTTAATAGTAGCCATCCTAATTGGTGTGAAATGTGAAATGGTATATCAGTTTTTTTATATTGTCATCTTTCTAGGAATAGATTAGATGTATCCTATTTATGTCAAAAAAGTGTTCTATATTAGCTTCTAGTTTGTTTCTAGCCACAAGGTTCTAAAACAGGCCAAGAAGAGTAATCAGCAGAGGCTTTGTGTAGGCACCTAATCTCCTTTAATCTGTAAATTACCCTGACATCTCTTTTTTTCCTTGCCATTTGTTGAAGATATCATGCACCTAGTTATAAAGAATAAGTAAAAGTATTTCTGGTATAGATGAGAGAAGGAGAAGCAGGAGATCCCCTAGGAGAGTGATTTTCAACCAGTATTCCATGAGAAGGTCTTTGATGTGCTGCAAAAATTTTTAAAGATCACATAATTAAATTATTTTCAGGCTCAGCGCCTGTGGCTCAAGCGGCTAAGGCACCAGCCACATACACCTAAGGTGGCAGGTTCGGATCCCCAGCCCGGGCCCACCAAACAACAATGACAGCTGCAACCAAAAAATGGCCAGGCATTGTGGCGGGCGCCTGTAGTCCCAGCTACTTGGGAGGCTGAGGCAGGAGACTCGCTTGAGCCCAGGAGTTGGAGGTTGCTGTGAGCATGATGCCATGGCACTCTACCCAGGGGGATAGCTTGAGGCTCTGTCTCAAAAAAAATTTTTTTTCAAAAGAATTTCAAAGTACAGTAAATATATTCTTTTTTTTTTTTTTTTACTCCTTTTGTTGATCTACATAATTTAAGTGTGCTGTGGAAGTTTAACTACAGGTTCAAGTGTGTTGTGAGATTTAAAAAAAAAAAAGGTTGAAAAACACTGCCCTACGTGTGGGAATACAAAGAAATATGGACCACTGGAGAGCACCAGTAGCTTTTCTAGAGCTCAGCTATACAGTACATCAGCACGTCAGGCTAGAAACACGCTACAAGCAAATATGGACAGATTTTATAAGACACACTAAAGAATTGTGGCTTATGCTCTTGTCACTTGGGATCGACTGAAGTTGTTAAGCAAGGCTTCATGTTGTTAGCTTCATAAAGACTGCTCTGGAGACTGGGATGATGGGGGCCAGGATGAAGAGAAGGGAAAGAGAAAACTGAAAATAGAGAAACTTGCAACAGTGCAAATCAATGCAGACTTGAAGTGGGTGTGGCAGTGGTGATGGAGAGAGGAGGAGAGCGGATTAAAGAAGTTAATGATCATTTGCATATTGTACAAGGTGAAGGAGCGAGAGTAGTTGATGATTTTAGCTTATTATTTATGATTTAAAATTCTATCACATTTAGCCTATAAGGAACCCCAAGAAAAGGAACAAATTTTAAATAGAAGATATATATTAGTGTCAGTTTTAGCGTACATTAAGAAGCCATTGGAATATTAAGGGTGTCGAACAATCTAGAATTTAATAAAACAACATCCAAGCCTATGCCCTATGCTGTGGTGATAGACATGTCATGTGTTTTATTCCCACCTACCTAACCCATGCCCTTTCCTCACAAGTCAGTATGAGTTTTATTCTTTTATCCAAGGCATTCAGGGGTAGGGAACCTTAAGTCTTCAGGTTCCCTAAATCCTGACCCTCATTACTGTGCCTAAAAATTGTCAGTGATGACTGTGGTGGCATAATAGAAGCAGAAGCAGGCAGAATAAGTACCATTTTGTCTTTTGGGTCCCTTTCCACACAGCTGTCTATAGTTTTTATATATATAGGATTCACTTCTGAATTATAGTAAAGGACCATTCTTAACCTTGTGGGTTTGGGGCGGGGGGGTTACCTTTAAAATATGTTAATTCAAAGGCCATTGTGGGAAGATGACTTAAGGCAGGCATTCAGGCTTGGCAACACAGTGGGGCCCTGTCTCTGCAAAAAATACATATGGGTATTTATATGTTTGGTGGGCAGAAATGTAAAGTGTTCCTTTTAATTCTTGTTAAAGATAAACTCTTTTTATCTCCTTAGCAACTACAGAGCAAACTTCAAGAGGTAACACATCAAAGTGAAAGTAAGTTCTTGAGTGTAGTATATAATTTTTTCCACCCTGTACCTCATGTTTTAAAATATGTTGTTTAGGCTGGGTGTGGTGGCTCACACCTGTAATCGTAGCACTCTGGAAGGCTGAGGCAGGTGGATTGTCTGAGCTCACGGGGTTCAAGACCAACCTGAACCAGAACAAGACCCCATCTCTAAAAATAGTCGGGTGTTATGCTGGATGTCTCTAGTCCCAGCTACTTGGGAGGCTGAGGCAAGAGAATTGCTTAAGCCCAAGAGTTTGAGGTTGCTGTGAGGTATGATGCTACGGCACTCTACCAAGGGCAACAAAGTGATACTCCATCTCAAAATAAGTAAATAAGTAAATAAATAAATAAAATATGTTGTTTAATAAGGTGAATTTATTAATACATTGGCATATCTACATAATTTACTGTTTATCCATTTCAGTATGAATCCAAATTCAAGAGTTCATAACAATATTATAAACTGCTATAGCTTTGTGATGCTAATTGTGAATGGAGTAAAATATACAGAAAATTAGGTACTATTCATCAGTTAAGTTATCTTTTTGGTTATTCTTTTGTACTTATGGTTTGGTTATATTTAAATGAGTTACTGCCAAAAATTATTTTAGGATTATTTCAATGTGTCAAACAATAGCAAATTAGCCAATTTTTTATAATGAATTTACATCATTTTAATGCAAAATAGTAAAACTTGACAGTTTAGAATCTTGAGTGGCTTTGTCACAGACACATGGATTCCACTGACTACCTTCTGATTCTTCCAGCTCCCTAAACTGAAAATCTATACCCATTAGGCAATAACTCATCCATTTTGCCTTCCCTCCTAGTCACCACCAGCCCAGGCCCCTGGCAGCCATCATTCTACTTTGTGTTTCCACCATTCCTTTTCTGAATTTGATTACTCTGAGTATCTCATATGAGTGCAGTCAGACAATGTTTGTTTTATGACCAGCCTGTTTCACTTAGTGTAAGGTTTGTGAATGTTCTGGCATGTGTCAGAATTTCTGTCCTGTTGAAGGCTGAGTAATATTCCATCATGTGTGTTACTGTGTCTAGTTCATTCATCTTTTGATGGTTACTTGTGTTTCTTCTGTTTGGCCATTGTGAATAAAGCTGCTATGAACATGGGCATACAAAAATCCCTTCAAGACCTGGGTTTCAATTCTTTGACGTACATAGCCATCAATGGGATTGCTGGATCAAGTAGTAATTCTATTTTTAATTTTTTGAGGAACTTCCATACTGTTTTCTGTAGTGGCTGCATCATTTTACATTTCTACAAGTAGCACACAAGGGTTCTAGTATCTTCACATCCTTGCCAACACTTTTTTCCTGGTTTTTTTTTTTTTTAATAGTAGCGATCCTGATAGTTGTGAGATAGTATCTAATTATAGATTTGATTTGCATTTCTCTAATGATCAGTGATGTTGAGCACCTTCCCTTTTTTTTTGGCTATTTATCTTCTTTAGAGAAATACCTGTTCAAGTCCTTCGCTCATTTACTCAGGTGGTTTGTTTTCGTATTTCTTGACAGTTTCAAAATTGCTCTCCTGAAAGATCAGGGAATTACATGACAGGTGATTTTTATTTTTAGGTAATCTTACCTCTTTGACATATGTTTCTTTTGTCTACACATTTCCCTAATTCTCTATAGATTTTTTGATGGTTGTGTCATAGATGTTATAGTCTGTTTTGTGTCTTGATCTTTTCACATTATTATATAGAATCTTCTTGGAACCTCAGTAAACAGTTGATTGACCTTTCTGTATTGATAGAGACTTGGACTATATTGATTGTCCACATAGACACTTAATTATTATTTTTATACAATCAGTATGGGTTCAATCATTTAGATAGATTTGTTGTATTTTATGACATTTTATTTTTAAATTTAGTGCTACAAGGACAACTTTTCCAGACAATACACGAAAGACAGAAAATTAAGACTATTTCCCCAAAATCATTACAATGATTCATAGGTAGTATGTCTAGAGATGCCATTGTTTTGAATTCCAATGAGGATTAATTTTCTAGTAATAGTATCATGTCTGCCATGTACTTTCAGATTTAGTTTTGGCAGCATGCTTGAGACTTTTTGGAGGATTTGCTAATCGTAAGACATTGTGCTTAGTTCCTATGGGCTATACACAGACTACTAAAGCACTACAATCTCATGAAGGAAACAGATATATAAATAAAAACTTTTTTTTTTTTTTTTTTGAGACAGAGTCTCACTCTATCACCCTCAGTAGATTGCTGTAACGTCGTAGCTCACAACCTCAATCTCCTGGGTTCAAGCAATCTTGCTTCTGCCTCCTGAGTAGCTGGGACTACAGGCATCTGCCACAACACCAGCTAGTTTTCTTCTTATTTTTAGTAGAGACAGAGATTTCAGTCTTGCTAAGACTGGTATTGATTCCTGAGCTTAAGCAATCCCCTCCTCAGCCTCCCAGAGTGCTAGGATTATAGACGTGAGCCAGGGAGTCCAGCCTCTTTTCTTTTTTTTCCAGTCATAGTCTCACTCTCAACTCTTGGGCTCAAGCAGTCCTCTTGCCTCAGCCTCCCAAGTAGCTGGGAAATACAAGTGCCCATCACAATGCCTGGCTAATTTTAGAGACAGAGTCTCACTCTTTCTCAGGCTGGTCTCAAACTCCTGAGCTCAGGCAATCCTCCCTCCTCAGGCATGAATTATCATGCCCATCCTAAATAAAAACTTTTAATGCAATTGGAATGGAATGTTATAAAAGGTACCATGAGAGTGGAAAAGGAGTATGGATACTTAGGGAACTATTTGTTACCCAGGAATCAGAGTTTTTTGGGAGACATGCAGAAAGAGTGGAAGGACGAGTAGGAGTTTGATAGACAAAAGCAGGGAAAGGATGTCTAGGCTGAGGAGAACATCAGCATGAAAGTGCCTGGCCAGTAACCTCAGGGAGTAAGAAATAATCTGAGCACAGTTAAATGACAGTCTTACATTCGCTTTTTAAGAATTAGGAATTTTTAATGTTTTTTGTTGTAGGGAGTGATCTGGACGTTAAATGTCTTAGAAGAGTTTGTTGCAGTAGCACGATGAGATGATTAGGAGCTTTGCCAGGGTAGAAGTTGTGTGTGTTATGTGAGTGTGGAAAGTAGAATGAGCAAAAATTTGTAGTTTATTTGAATGTGTGGGATAAAAGAGAGGAAATTTCAAAGATGATTTATAAACTGGTTGACTCAGAGATGATGACTCCATTAACTTAGTTTGGAAAGGGGAAAGGAGAAGCAAATTTGAATTAGAAAAATAAGCTGGATTTTGCACATGTGAAGGTCAAAGTAGGCCCAGGCGTGGTAACTCACACCTGTAATCCTAGCACCCTGGGAGGCCGAGGCCAGTGGATTGCCTGAGCTCACGGATTCAAGACCAGCCTGAACCAGAGTAAGACCCCGTCTCTAAAAATAGCCGGGTGTTATAGCAGGTGCCTGTAGTCCCAGCTCCACGGAAAGCTAAGGCAAGAGAATCTCTTGAGCCCAAGAGTTTGAGGTTGCAGTGAGCTATAATGCCACAGCACTCTCCTGAGGGCGACAAAGTGAGACTGTCTCAAAAAGAAAAAAAAATTCTATAACGTTTGGCCTATTAATGAGATGAATGTCCAGGGTCATTAGAAAATTCAACATGCAAATTGTGAACAGAATAAAGGCTGGAGGTGTGTATTCTAAGTTATTAACAAAGGTGTGAGAATTGAAACTATAAAAATGTCCAGAATCATTGAAAAAAGGAAAAGAGAAAAGGGCCTCAGATAGTACCTTGAGGGAAGACCCACATTTAAGAAATGGAGGAAGAGAAAGGTGAAGGATAATCTCTCCGCTCACTAACCCACAGGCAGATGATTAGGTACTTTTTCATAGCTAACATATATTGAAATGTTGAATATGATGTGCTCTGTATGTACTGTATATTTAATTGATTTAATTCAACTGAATTTTAATCACTTTTTAGTGTTCCCAGGAATATAAGACTCCTAAAGTAATGTTAATGTCAAACATTTATATGGGAAACTCCTATTAGATAGAATGACCCTGTTTTTAATCTACTAAACCTGGTATCAGGTTTTATGGATGACTATATAATAGAAAACAAAAATGATGCAAATTTAAAAAGGAATTTATTTTTTCACAGAAACTCTGAGATTATCCTTAATACATCCTTACATGATGTTTATACTTTTTCTTAATCTAGATACCAAAGAGGATCCCTCACTGAAGGACGTTGAAGATACTATGGTAGAGACGATTGCTCTTTGCCAGAGAAATTCTCATAATTTGAACCAGCAGCAGCGAGAGGTAGGAGAATGACTATTTAGACATTTAAAAGCCTGTTCTTGTCTGAAACTAGGAATTAATTCTACTTCCACTGCCCTCTCAGCCACCTGAGTTTAATTCAACTGAATTTTAATCACTTTTTAGTGTTCCCGGGAGTATGACTCCTAAAGTTATTACGAAGAGTGTGTGGCCTCATTGTTCTTACAAAAGGCTTTATGTTCTTAGATCTGACTAAGCTGCAAAAATGAAGGTGCATGAATACTAGATTTCTCTGTTCTCTTTGGAGTGAGAGTTTGTGTATTCCATGTAGTGTTATCATTGATGTGTCATCCATTTATCGTCTCTCAGTTCCCTGTGGGTGAAAGTGAGCAGGAACAACAGAAGGAAAGCTCTCAAGAGATGCAGAGAAAGCTGAGAAAAGGTCAAGGAAGGGGCAGTGCCTGTGCCTCAAGAAGTAGGGCACTGGCCCCATATACCCAGGGTGGTGGGTTCAAGCCCAGTCCAGCCAAAACTGCAAAAAAAAAAAAAAAGGAAAGGTCAAGGAAGGCTATGGTATAGTAGTTCTCAGCCTTGGTCATATGTTAGCGTAACCTGGGGAGCTTTGAAAAATTACATTGCTCAGGCTATACCCCAGATCGATTAAAGTCTCTATTCTGGGGCCTAGACATTAGTATGTTGTAAAGCTCCATACATAATTCTCATGTGCAGCCAAGGTGGAAGCACTGCTTTATCAGATCCCAGATGACAAGGGAAGAAATCAAAGTGAAGGACGTATAGTTGGGTACCAGGTGCAGGAGGGAGTTGCAGAAGTGAAGCACAAACTAAGGGGGTGAGATGTGATTTGACAGTTATATTCTGTAGTCAGTTTAGAAAGTTAAGTTATATCATGATATGGCTTAATACCTCTTTGCTGCCCTTTGGGCTTGGGCCATTGACTTGCCACTGCCTGGGTTTTTGAAATGGGAAACAGGGTTAATTTTTTATATATATTTAGCTATGCTTGTTATAATGAAAATAATAAATCTTGACATATTTTCTGTTTTTATGAGATGGGTAAGTTTCTCCTTGAAATTTCTCTCAAGGAGTCTTCAGGATTACAAATTATAAAAATTCTTTAGAATATAAATTGTGTAAGACAAATTTATATATGGATGTGAAATTTTTTTTGTGAAATGGTACCAACTCAGCATTTTTTAAAATTTTGGAAAGAAGTTTGGAGAATACCCAAGGAACTAAAAGTAGACCTACTATTCGATCCTGCAATTCCTCTACTAGGTATATACCCAATGATCAAAAATCATTTTACAACAAAGACATTTGCACCAGAATGTTTATTGCAGCCTAATTCATAATTGCCGAGACATGGAGACTGCCCGAGTGCCCATTGACCCACGAATGGATTAACAGTTGTGGTATTATATACACCATGGCACACTATGCAGCCATAAAAAAAGATGGAGACTTCACATCTTTTATGTTTACCTACATGGAGCTAGAACATATTCTTCTTAGTGAAGGATCTCAAGAGTGGAAAAAAAGTATCCAATGTACTCATTACTACTATGAAATCAATATATAATCACCAACACATTCATATGAATGGGAAAACATAGCTATAGTCCAGAAAGTAGGAGGGAAGGGAAGGGAGAGGGGAGCAGGGGGGGAGGTCGGGAGGAGGGAGGGGAGGGTATTTGGGGGGGACTTTACCTAGGTGCATTAAAAACTAACACTATTAAAACACTATTAAACCACTATTAAAATGTACAATAGTACATTTAAAAACTGTTAAGAGTATAATTGTCTTACCACAACAAATAAGTAAGCAAGATGATAAATGTATTCATCAGTTCAATATAAGCATTTCACATTGTATATCAAATCAGTACACTGAACCCCATAAATGCATCAGTGTACACAGTTATGATTTAATACAATAAATAAATTAAATAAAAACAATTTAAAAATTATACAGAAAGTTACACAGAAAAATGTTTTTAAAATTATAATATATTCATCCATCACCCAGAATTAATCATTATTATTTGATAAACATCATTCTATTTTTTGTCTGCCCCAATTTTAGAGAAATAGAATCAAATAATGCTTGTTCTTAAAAATACAGTACTAGTCTCCTACAGGAAGCTTATGTAAAACTGAAGAATTTCTTTTGTTGTTGGTTTTTTTTAATTGATGATAAGTATGTACATATTTATGGGTTATATGTGATATTTTGATAGTTGCATACAATGGGTAATGATGAGATTAGAGTATTTAGGATAGCTGTCACCTCAAACATTTATCATTTCTTTCTGTTGGGAACATTTTAACTCTTCCCTTGTACCTATTTTGAAATATACAATAAATTGTTAATTGTAGTCACTCTACTATGTTATCTTTTTTTTTTTTATTGAATGGTAACTGTGTGCATTAATGCACTTCAGAGGTACACTGTGGGATTTTCACACACAATCCGAAACACTTCCATCAAACTGGTTAACATAGCCTTCATGTCATTTTCTTAGTTATTGTGTTAAAAAATTCATATTCTACTCATAGAAAGATTCACTTGTACCCTTGTGAGATAAACCACAGAGATGATCCCTCCAATCCTCCTCCCTCCACCCATTCCTCCCTCCCCTCTCCCTCCCCCCTCCCCGTATTCTTAGGCTATTATTAGGTTATAGCTTTCATATAAAAGGTTTAAATTAATTTCATAACATGGGTGTGTACACTGGAAACTTTTTCTTCCATTCCTGTGATACTTTTCTAAGAAGAACATTTTCCAGTTCCATCCATGTGAACATGAAGGATGTAAAGTCTCCATCTTTCTTTATGGCTGCATAGTATTCCATGGTGTACATATA